CTTGCTAACACAATTGACCCACTAATCATAGGGGTGGCTATGACATTGGCTTCCAACATCTTAGCCTTCTGAAGAAGATCAGCTATGTATTTGGATTGAGAGAGAAAAAGGCTGGTAGGAATAGGATATGATACCTCAATCCCTAGAAAGTAACCAAACTTGCCCAAGTCTTTTAGAGAGAACTTATTGTGAAGAGTAGAAATAAGGCCTTGAATTTCAGAGGAAGAACTCTCAGTTATTACTATGTCATCAACATAGATTAAAATATAGCAAGTATGTCCATCTGTAGTCTTGTAGAATAAGGAAGGATCGGCTTTGGAGCCAATAAAACCAAGTGTGATGAGAAAAGTACTCAATCTCTCAAACCAAGCCCTAGGAGCCTGTTTTAGACCATAGAGAGCCTTTCGAAGTCTATGATTACGCTTGTTTACATGCGTAAAAAGAAGGTTTTAGATGCTGTTTTTACTATGTTTTAACTTTGTTTCGGACTTTTTCTCGGTCGTTTGAGTTCCAATTCATGCAAAATTCATATATGATGGTTTGTGGTTGGCTTATATTGTATTTATGACATTTTAGGACCATTTGGGAGTGGAAATTAATCAAAAGAAGCAAAAAGTCGGAAATACCAACATGGGAGGCGCCAGACGCCTGGGAAGGCTGCAGAAAACAGTTTTTCTTCCAACTTTGCCCTTAATGAAACGCGTCTTCCAATGCGTTTTGGTGGTTCCAACCGATGCACACGTGTAGAAGAAGTGTTCCACTATCAGTTTGAGCACGATTTAGTCAGTCAAAGGAGTTGGAAATGGGTGATTCACCATCGTATTAGGACCTACCTAACCAATTCTGCACAGCTATAAATTCCAGCAGCTTCTCCACCAAATGGATCAAGCCTTGCTTCCTTCTATTGATCATTTTTAGTGTTTCTTTGTTGCTTTCTAAGTACTTTTGAGTTGCTTTCATTAGTTGCTTTTGGTTTTTAAATCCCGAGCACTTTAMATTCCTTTATTGAGCTCTGTTTTGTTTCCATTTGTACTTAGTTATTTTCTACTTATTCAAATATATAAAAATCCAGCACTTTGCTTATCTTCCCTTTGCCTTTACTTTATTTTTAGTTAAGAGAGTTGTGTTTTTGGAGGAAAAAGCACGTGACACTCCCCCTTGCTTGAAAGAGAAGGGTGAAGCTCTCAATCCCGATAAAAACTCTCCGTTAGTTAACTTTTGTTTTTCACACATGCATTCCAATTTCAACCATTCTACTTGCTGTATTTTCTTCAATATGTCTTTCTAAATTCCCGTCTCTAGCCCGGTTATGGATAGTTAGCCTTTTATTTCTAAAAAGGGTTGCTAAGAAGTAGTGTTTTTGCTTTCCATTCATTACTCAACATGTTTTCCCAAAAAGTTAGGATTTAGAGAAGGCCACTGTAAGTCTTAACAAGTCAATACTGAAAAGGTTGCTTATTTGCATTGTTGAGTGGTTAAACCAAGGAGAGGAGCGCCTTAGACATAAGGGTTCCGTTTAAGTAGCCTAGACATAGGACCTTACCCCGAGGTTGCAACTATTTCCATCCTAAAACTAAGATATCTCTCGTAATAGACATATTAGGGAATGTCTTAGGACTTTGAACTTGCTTAGACATAAGTCAAGTGGAAAGCGTAGTCGTTGGTTCCTAAAGTAAAATGCACATCGTCCTTAGCGTATCCTTAATTCTTTGTTGGCTAACTTGAAGTAATTCGGGCTAGGTTTTACCATTATAAGACCGAATCCCAAATCCAAAACCATTATTTGTGACCACTTCCCATTTTACAAAAATCACTCATTTCAACGTTCACTATTCATTAAAACTTTAGAGTTTGGAAATTATTTAGAAGTCCTTGAGGATCGATACTTGGATACTTCATCCATTTTATATTACTCTGACAGGTGTGCGCTTGCATCTATAGAATTGTTACCACACTCAGTGCGTGCGTTCAGCAAAACCACCAGTCAGGTTTTTGGCGCCGTTGCCGGAGACTTTAGTTTTAAAATTATTTTAAAATTATTTTAGTTTTTATTTTTGTGAATTGTTGTTGGGTGTAATTTCCATCCACCGTTTTTGTTCTATATTTTTGGTCGTTTATCTCACAAGGGTAAGTTAAAGTGCATGAGYACAAGATCTTTTCTTCTACCCCTTGACCCTGAGATTGAGCGGACCCTTCGAAAAACTCGAAAGGAGCAAAGACTTCGAAAACAACTAGAAAADCAAAAAGAGAGAGAAGGTGAAATCAGTCCTGAAAGTGAGGTAGAGAGTACGAGCACATCAATGGCAGATATTCCACCTCGTGATCCRGTTGATCCACCTGCTGTTAACGGTAATATGAGGGATCATGCRAGAAATGATGAATTCAACTATATCCAGATGGCGGACAACAGAGACGTGGCAATGCGAGAATATGCCGCCACGGCTTTTCAGAACTTTGATTCAGGGATAGTCAACCCTATTCCAGCCCACRCAAACTTTGAGCTTAAACCAATGATGTTCCAAATGTTGCAGACAATTGGACATTTTGGAGGGCAGGAACATGAGGATCCACATGATCATCTGAAATCATTCATTCAAATTGCAAATGCATTTCGATTACCTGGTATAACAGACGATGCTYTTMRACTAACACTTTTTCCATTTTCTTTGAAGGACCAAGCTAGARSATGKCTCAAYGCATTTCCACYGGGATCCATCACCACATGGGGGTCGTTAGTGGAGAAGTTCTTAACAAAATTCTTCCCACCTACTCGCCACGCTGATATCAGAGAGGAGATCATCTCCTTTAGACAGTATGATCGTGAACCTGTTCATGAGGCGTGGGAAAGATTTAAAGAACTAATCAGGAAATGTCYGAACCATGGCTTGCCGGCATGCRTCCAGATAGAACATTTCTTTAGAGGTTTAGATCATCCTACTAAGATGATGTTAAACAATGCTGCCAACGGAGCCTTTACAAAGAAGACATTCAACGAGATAGTCGACATCCTAAATGACTTAGCTTCACACAACGAACTATGGTGTTCGCAAAGATCTAGGGCAGCACCAAAGAAGCAAGATCCAGCTGGAGTTTTGGCTCTGGACATTGCGACCTCGATGCAAAAAGAGATGGTTACAATGAACCAGAGGCTGAAAGAAATGGCGTTGGGAATAAAAAATCCATTAGCCACGYCGATACAACCTGTGCAGTCGGATTATTGCACTCATGCCCCTGTTTGCCAAGTCAACGATCTCATTTGTTCATTTTGCAGTGAAAACCATATTTATGATAATTGTCCACATAACCCTGCTTCCGTTTTTTATGTAGGACATGGGAACAATAGGAACTTTAACCCGTATTCGAACACCTACAACCCAGGTTGGAGGCACCACCCTAATTTCTCATGGGGAGGTCAAGGAGGTTCGAGCGGTTTTAATCAAGGGCAAAGCCAGCAGAACAAGCAGCCCTATGTTCCACCTACACAGCAACACATCCCGCCACCGCAACAACAGTACAATCAGAGAACACAGACTCCACCAATTCAAAATAACAACTCAAATCTTGAGAATATGATGAAGGAGTACATGGCCCGAACCGACGCAGTGATACAATCCCAAGCGGCATCAATGAGGAATTTCGGGACCCAATTGGGACATCTCGCCAATGAATTGAAGAATAGACCACAAGGTTCTTTTCCAGGCCATACTGAATTACCAAGACGAGAAGGGAAGGAACAGTGCAAAGCTGTCACCCTTAGGAGTGGACTGACATATGATGGACCAACAATGCCAACAACAGATGTACAGATTCCGTCCACTAAACCAACTGTAAAGATACCAGAGAATCCAACAACACCAGAAAAAGAAAATATTAGAAAAGGTAATAAGGACACCTCGAGTGTTCCTCCACAGGTACAACCTTCTTTTACCCCTACTCCCTCGTTTCCACTAAGATTAGTTAAGAAAAATAATGATTCCCAGTTTAGAAAATTTTTAGATATTTTAAAACAATTGCATATAAGTATACCATTAGTGGATGCTCTAGAACAGATGTCAAATTATGCTAAGTTTTTGAAAGATATAGTTTCTAGGAAGAAAAAGATAGGAGAGCATGAACTGGTAGCCATGACAAAATGTAGTAGTGAAGCTGTAGGCAGCCCGCTACCCATGAAGTGTAACGATCCTGACAGTTTTACCATTCCATGTTCCATAGGAGGAAAAAACTTAGGCAGGGCATTATGTGATCTAGGCGCTAGCATTAATCTTATGCCATTATCAGTTTTCAAATCTTTGGGCATATGAGAAGCTAGACCTACTACGGTTACCCTCCAACTAGCAGATATATCTAAGTGTTGAAAAAATGAAAAATCTTTTTTCTAAGGAAAGTCTTAAAATTAAAGTATTTAGAAAATGGAAGGTTTTAAAATAAAATAGGACTTTGTTTTAAAATAAAGAAAATTGATTTTTTTTATGTAAATTTTGTTTTAAGATAAAATGAATCTCAAATCATGTCAGTAAAGTTTGTTTTTGAAAGTTTGTTATTTAATTTTTGGAAATTTTGAATAATTTTTTTTTAAAATAAGTTTAGCTTTAAATAGGAGATTTTCTTTTTTCTAAACGAGTTTCAAATCCTTTTTTTTTCGTTTATGGTTTTTTTTTCTTGTTTTTTTAAACAAAGTTTACAAATAACATATTTGTATTTTGAAAAGGAAACTTAGTTTACATCTTTTGGTGTGTTATAGTGGCAAGAGTTTTGAGTCTTAACACCCATATATAAGTTTGAGCTTTCATGGTTGTCATGAAATGTTTTTTACTTTATTTATTATTTTTTTAAACATTGGTTTTAATAAATAAATATTTTACAAAAAAGTTTTTTTCTTTTTAAATGAAATTTTTTTTCATTTATTTTTTTGAAACAAAATCAAGAACTAAAACCTTTGTATTTAAAAAAAAAATAATTAAATTGTATCCTAAGGTCTTGGCGCTGTGGTAAGAGCTTAGGGTATTGACAAGTATAATAAAAGTTTGAGTCTTTACGTGTGCCATGATTTTGTTTTATTTCTTTTTTTTGTTTATCATTTTTTTTTTTACTAAATAATTATTTGAAAAACTCTAATGACGAAAATTTGAACCTTCCAATATTCTCGAGGTGATAAAATTTTTCTAATGGCCTTCGTGCCACTCCTACCTATTAATTCATATCTTATAACAGAGTGTGAATTAATATAACATGAGACATTTAAATACAATTAAAAAAATATTTTCTTCTGGACCAATAAAAATAATAGGATAATTTTTGACAAAATATGGTACCGTTTTCGAACAGGTGTCAAGGGTGTTAACACCTTCCTTACGCTCAGTCGACTCCCGAACCAAGAATCTATTTTTGCATACCTTGTCTTTATTTTTAGGTGACCAATCACACCTCGTAGATGATTGGTGGTGACTCCAAACCCTTATCTCGAAAGAGATCCTTAAGGGGATGACGTCGGCCGCTCCGCGTCGCGATGACGTTGCGACAACAAAGATCATAATCAAACAAGCCCTTGAAGGATAGACAATTGCTGAAAACRGACCTAAGTAAMCTTATCCATTTATGGAGTTAACGATGTTTAAAATCCTATGTTACAACCCACCGTAGGGATAGGTGCTTATAAATGCCAAGCAGGTGCAACATGAGAATCTCACGGTGTGACCTAATGGAAGAGACCGTAGGACGTGTTGACACACACCCTTCACCCACTTACTATGAACTACTTCCCCTATTCACCTTGTTATTGACTCATACAAATACTTTCTGAAGGGAGGTCGCCAAATATCAACTTGAAGYCGAGCATGAATCTCACGRTGTGAACTCTTAGGGGCGTGAGAGCTAGAAATARTGTATCTCATACACTATTAATCTCCCACTAAAGTGTTCTATTATAAAAATTGGGTCATTGCTAGGCTATATACCGGCTAATTATATACAACCTAAGCCTAGGTGATTTTCCCCAGTATAACTCTTATACTGGGATTAACCTACGATGTCTAGGTGATAAACTAATTTTATTACCTCACATCTCTCACGCATGGTCATAAAACTAGGGTTATTGACTCAGACTCCAGTTTGATCTCYAKGTATGAGGTGTTCCATAAATGGTCAACTTAAGTACCCCCAACCWTAGACAAGATATCACCGAGTGAGTAAACAACTTTTGTTTTACAAGTTATCGCCCTATTTTAACTATTAAACGGAAGAAATTGCTTTAAACCGATTAACCCTAGGTAAGCATGCAAGTTTGTCTTTGTTATAGATTTTAAAAGACTAAGTGGTTTTATAACAGWTATAAAATCTAGACATAAMAATTATATAATTTACATAAATCTAAAACAAGCATCCACTTATTAAAGTCRTAAACTAATATAACATTTATATCTAATTTATGAAGTTAATTCCATGCATTCACATACACTATAACTCTTGTAACATAAATGCAACCATGTTTACCCTTTGGTGGGGTTTAATTCATAAGATGAATTGTTGCGTGTACTAAAATGGTTGTTGTTTTTGACATCCCTTCTYTTASCCTGATTTTGGTTATTTAATTATTGTAATTAAGCCTTCATTTTGGGCCTTGTTGTCCTTGATCGAGTATGTAATTTACTTGAGTCATTTAGAGTTAATCAAAGGTTGTAAACRAAGCCGGTTCAAGCTCAAAATCATGCTGTCTTTTCCGTTACTACTGCTGTTTTTTKAATTTCCAGCACTTATTTTCACATTTTGGAGGCCGATTTGAGCACCTTGGAACGCGTTTTGGGTGCAKTTCGARGCTACTTCAAGCWTATTAATGTAAAGCTTATAAATGRAACTTTAGACATGCACACCGRAAGCTAAGGATCATAATACACTTAATGAAGCAATTTAACTRAAATAAKCATGCTGGAAAATATGATGAAAAAGGTAAAGAGGAAGTGATTAACTTTATACMTTTGAAGACCTCCACTATAACTTTTTCTCCTAACTCAATGGGACCACCAATGRYAAATCCGTGCTATCCTCCGGTTGACGAACACRGTTGTGGGACCGAATTATGAGTGAAAGCAAAGGGAAAGCACTAATGGCTACGAGAAAACAAYAGAAATTTGAGTGGAAAAATTCTGAACTCATGCAAGGAAGCATTAGCCTTGTCCAAGTGATCTTTATCACCCATATAAAGACCAAATGCATGCAAGGACAAGCGTTGCATGYCTTCCACTTCAAACCCCACTAGCATGTAAAAGATAGGTGTCATTGCCTTGAAGAAGCAGTTAAAAAACCACTAGTTAGTGGAAAATCYAACTTTGAARTTGGATTTTTCCACTAACTTGATTTTTTAAATAAAACTTTTATAAAACTAATTTTTATAAAAACAAAAATTGAAATATCAATTTTCTATTAAAACAAAAACCAAGCCAAATTAATACCTCATATTAATTGGTCTTTGACRCCTAAGCTTGATTAATCACATTAATCAAATTACAACTCTTTTTCATGCTTTAAACTTATTTATTACTAATTTAAATAAGTCATTGCTTTAAASTTATTTATTACTGATTTAAATAAGTCATACTCTCCATAATAATGAATTCTCAATTAATTATTAAATTATATATTATRTCTCATATAAAATACAATATTCCCTAAAAAACTGAATTTGAACACTTCAAATTCTTGCTTCACCTAGTTCATCAATTTTATTCTTTATGAGCTAGCATGGAGACCCGATGGACCTACAGATCATTGGTTCCAACGATTCGAGACTAACCGGTYAAACTCTTTAACTTAGTTAATCAACATTCGTTAACTAACAGGACTGTCCACTATATCCTRTAGATGCACTCCCCTCACTGTAGATATATTTGTGTCCATTCGATATAACCGTCATCGGTAAGTTGATCCTTCACAGGACGTTCGTAACCTCTGCTAGGTAAGAAAAATCGTTTTACCCCTGAGTTACATCTTTTTTCCTTAAGTACCACTATCCCTCTAATGAACAATTGATTTATGAACAAATCACTAAATCCATTTTCTCTCGAGCCAGTGAGAGGATGGGGCCCTTTGTTCAAGACCCGGGATCAGCACTTAAGGGAACAACCTCTCTACTATCCCTAAATCGAGTAGGAGTGAATTTCGTCTTGCTAATTCTATGTCCCCAGCTATCTACCCAGTCTTATCCTTGGAAATGGGAGACATATTGAGCAGCGCTGATGAGCTTACTCTCAACTATGCAGATCAAGGGAGAATCCTGAATAAATAGGAGTTCATAGATGGCTCAGGATTTAGATCAAGTTAYCTAGGTCATCGATAAACAAAATTAATCAGTGTTATCTGTAAAYAGTGTTAATACGTAAYAGTGATTACTTCAGGGTCAGTCTTACACAACYTCATTGTGTAGAACACCCCCGCTCACATGTTTTTACATGAACGAATCAGGATCACTTTGTTTATGACACCTTACAACATTTGTAACAATCATAAAGYGGGGYCGTATTCAATAGTGTCTCCATRAAAAASTACCCAACTTGATCCATGTACGATAGACTCWTTAGGCTATTTTTTGAACTTGATCTAGTTTATGTCTCCACATAAAGTCCAWGTTCTTATTWTAATTGTCAAGGGTTCGTASTTTATTGGATTTAGAGTTATTAAAAAACAAATTCACTTTCATTTAACAATACTTGTCTGAATAACCTCACATTAATGTTCACTGTTTACAAAACTACGAGTTTTAGGACAAAATAACCAACAYAAAATCCCCAAACTCGCCTTACGGATGTGACCGGCTTCTTGGGTGTCACTACATTCGCATCAYCGGCCTCTACTCCCACCTCCAAACATAACTCAGTTATTAGTCCAGGAAAAACAAGGGGACTTACCATTTTCTCCGAGC